GAGGGGATTTTAGTTTAACTCTAATGACATCTACAGACACTGTGTGTGCGTGTGTGTGTGCGTGAGTGTGTGCGTGTCTGTGTGTGCGTGAGTGTGTGAGAATGTGGAAACTGAAGGAATTCGATTCTTAAACTCATGCAAGGTGCATTGTGGGAAGGTACCACCACACTCAGATGAGTAGATTCTTTCAGTACATATTAGCATCTGTTTTTGTTAGTTTGTTTGTGTGCATGTGTGTGTGTGTGTGTGTGTGTGTGTGTGTGTGTGTGTATGGCAGTGGTGGGTGGGTGTTTCCTGACCTCAGCCTTTCATTCCCACAGTTCCCAGTGTTCTCTGATTGTTGTGGCGTTTAATACCGTGTGGGCGTCTTTCCATGACCACTGGTTTTCAGGAAGTAAACCTAGTCGACACCAGACTATGCTCGGGAACACAACTTTTACTTCAGTTTTATTGAACAGCTGAACAGTTACTGCACACCAAAACACCCCCAGCGCAAGGAGGGATTGAAGTTTACAACACCCTCACTTGAGAGGGGAATTAAAGGACCATACCTGTGTGTTTTACCTCCCTAAACATAAGTCATGTCATGTTTGGCCTATACTTTTCATTTTGGTGAATATTTTCAAATGCACTCTGTAACAGTTTTCAGATCTTGGATGTATTCTTTCCATCATTCCCGGCAGCTTTTGGTTGAAACTTGATTTGCTTGATTATGAAATCCATCAAGTCTGCCTCAGTTCATGTCACTTGCCTTATTAATGCATTGTAATGCAGTTAACGTGCAATTTTATTTCAAAAGTCTTTATTTCATGACCTAAATTATAGAATAATACAGTGCTAGACACGAATGTTAACATTACACAATATATCCTGGGTCATGTTTGATACAAATTTGTTTTACGTCCAATGCCAACATTTTCAAAATTCTAGCTTTCTATAATTGCCATCCTTTTCCGACTCATGGCTCGCTTGAAAATCTGTAAAAACACTGGCGGCCCACATCAGACCCCAAACAATACAGGATCTTTTGACTTTAATGATAACGATTGAACATTCAGGACTGAACTGAAAGCAGTGGAAAGCTAAAATTTTCTTTTCTGTTTGACGGGGTAAGAGATCACATGATGGTTCTTCATCTGTCTCTTGACTCTTTGCTCTGTCTACCTATTGCTAACCAGCTATCTATTTTCATACTCTGGTTTCTATCATGGATATAATCTTTTAGCGATTTGTTCCAGCCGGCAACAACATCGTTGTCTTATCACAGTGATTGGCCTTAATGTATAGTTACATCTTCTCAGCATAACTGTACTGTTTTGCAAATGATTTGTCAGCCCACTTGCAATACCGGGCTGAGACATACTGAAACATTGTCTCTCATACGGATGAATAAATATATATAAGTAAATGATCTCCTCATGAGGAATCATTGAGGACAGCCTCCATTTTCAATGATTTCGAGAGTAACAACAGCAGAACGCAGTTTAAAACAGTCACGTTCAGGAGCGGAAGAGTTTGTGACCAATAGGTAAAACTGTGTTTAGTTTTAATGTGTGTTGTAAAATGTTCCACATGTGTGTGTGCAGCACAAAAACTAAAAGCAGTTTTCCCAAAATTGGTGTTTTCATGTGGGACTTTGACCATCAGCCAATCAGTTGAACAGGTCACATAATTGCTATGGGAACAGTTTAATAAGGAAGTGATTTATGATGGCATGTTGCCATTTAAGGGCTTTATAAATAAATAGAAACCAACGCCTGTCACGTCTCACTGTTCGAGATGTGACAGGCGTATAATTTACAGGAAGGCAAATAGTCGCAGTTGTTGGCGTGTGTTGAACACCAGCTGTGCCGCTGTGATTTAAAGAATAACTACAGCCTTATTTGAGCTGTTTTATTGTAGCTGATTCACGCTCCGGTCCCAACCTGTCTTCATACAATACCTCACATCTGCTTCAACCTGCATCATTTACTGACGTTACAGCTGAGTGTGCGTCGACCACACGGAGCTGGGACGTTGGGTGTGATCAGAAGATGTAGTGTGGCGTGTGGAGATGAAGGGAGAGCCTTCAATCCTGTAAATATGATTCATGCTCTTCATCAACTGATGCAGTTTTGTTATGCTGGTTGTCAGGGCCATTCTCAACTCCGCTGATCCCTTGTCCCTTTGGTGAAGACCAGAGGAGCTCTCTTCTTCATGTGTTGCAAAGTTCATCCCCCTTACTAGAGGAGGGAAAGACAACATGCTAACATGGAAGCGAATGCAGCCACTGTCATTTCAGCTTCTATCTCTTCTGGCTCCAAATATTTTCACACCTATCCACACCCGGGGCCCGTTTCACGAAGACAGACTTTGACTGTGGCTTAGATATAACTAATAGTCAGACTTCAGATGGCCGTCTAAATTCATCCGTTGCACAAAGTTCTTGACTATCTTAAGCCGGACTGTGGTACAGTGAATTCTGGGTAAATTAAGACTTTTTTCAAAATAAAAAAAAAATGGCAGACTTAGGAACTGCAGAGTGAAGAGTGTAACAATTATAATAAAAAAAAAATCAAATTTGGAAAAGAATAACTGCTTCTCTAAAAACTCTTCCCCCTCTCTTTGCTCTCTCCACAACAACATTAGCAAACCACAAATTATGAGCCATGTTTTCCTGTTTTTTGTTGTTGGGTGCTTCTGCTCAGTGCAGGTGATTGTTATTGTTACAGATGTGCTTAGGCGTGAGTAAGCCTGAGTTAATTCTGGTTTTAAAATGAATCAGTCTTTATTATTGTGAAATAGTCTGACTTGCATTAGACTAATAGACCGACTACTTGCTTGAAGTTCCAACACGAGAAACATCCCAGCACTATCAACTATCAGCTCAAAATCAACATATCATAAGTGGACGATTAAGTCTCTCCATTAAAGTTTTATCTTTCTTTGTCCCCTCATTTAAAGCTAGATAATTAAGACTGGACCAACACTACAACACTACAGTCTGAAATATCTTTGTGAAACCGGCTCCTGGCTAATTGCTTCAGAAAAAAGGTCTAACTGTCAGTTTGAAAGTTTCTCAGATCCCTAGAGTCTCTGTATGGTCACACTGTGTGCTGGATATCGTTTACTTTTAAGCATATAGGACAATAACACAACTGGAAGTCGGTGCCAGTTTTCCCCCTCACAAGTAAAAGCTGGAAGCTTCAGCAGAGCAGCAAGCTTTTAGTGATCTGAAGAAAAACTCAGGAGGTTTTTGTTTGACAGAAAGGGTTTTTAGGCTGTTTTCTGTTTTTAATAATTTCTCTTAGGGAGTGTGGGAAGTGAGATGATGTTTTTTATAATGCCCCCAAGTCTTTTTCTTTTATTTCTTCTGTCTGTGCTTTATCATGAGATTTCTGTACCACATCTGTGATCCATTCATATGCAAATACTCTAAAGTTAACAAAGCAACCCGTGTCTTTTTTAGGGGATCTAGGTAGATTAGGTGTAGCTGTGGAGTGGGTTTTTCATTTTAATGTGAATCAGTGGGGGAGATAGAGGGGTGGGGTGGGGCGGTGGGGTGGGGGTGGGGGTGGGGGCTTCAACAGCTGTTCCAGGGTTTGCGTCATGCGGTGCGAGCTAGCGTCATGGCTGAGAGTTCGCACGCTATGCACACACACACACACACACACACACACACACACACACACACACACACACAGACATGCTGTGGGGACCCCCAGTCGAAGGCATGACCAAACACAGGCATTGTGTTCTCATGCAGCCGCTGTGTTGCTGAGGAAGAGCGTCACCTGTTTTGAGTGATGACGGGCTGCTGGTTCTGCTTGCTCTCTCACATTTTACTGCATGTTTGCTGCATGACGGCTCCGCTGCTGCTGCTCCCCCTCTGAGAGGAGAATCACAGAATCACTACTTTGTTCCTCTGTTAGTCACCAGGCTGGTCTGCATGAGAGGAGGACTGGGAAAAGATGAGCTGTGACTGTTGGACATGTTGGGAACTATGTTGTAGTTAAATGCAGCACGAGTGGTGGGCCCTGTATATGCAATTCATGTGGTTGCTATGACTACCACTGTAGTTTTAAGGTATGGACTGATAAAGCTCAAGCTCAAGTTTAAAATCCACTTTATTTGACATAATTAAATACAGTTACATAGAAACATATTTAAACTTATTTTCCTTATGAAATTTTGTTTAGAAAGTAATTTCTATAATGTTTAAACTTATTAATCTTTTTTTAACAAAGTCACTATTGCAGACCTGTCTGTGTATGATTTAAATAAAATGATTTTAAAGGTCAATATTGTAGAAAGTTGAGATTTCCAGTCTTTTCTGATTATAAAGCAGGTCTAGGTTCTATATTAATACTGTGAAAGTATCAAAGCCTCAGTCCACAGAGAAACGCACACAGCTTGTATTCTGAAACTGAGCCTTAAAACCAGCTGTCAGGACTTCTGTAACTTTGTGATGTCACAACAAAGCAGTCACCGCTCTCAGCCGTGCCCCAAGCCCCGCCCACCTGGACCCACCATCCAAACCTTGAATGATTTGGTTTCTCTGAGTGTTTACCTAAAATCTGATATATTTGATATGTTTTTATTCAATCACTCAGAAAACAGTCAGCCAATCAGAAGAGAGACTCAAACCCTCCTCTCTAGAGCTCCAGAGAGAAGCCTGAGAGAGGAGATGTTAAATTACACTGAGATGGTTTTTGGTTCTTAAAACCACAAATATATCTTCTTATGGATCAGCACCTCAAAGAAAACAGCAGAAATGTTTAAAATAGGGACCTTTCATGGATGATAGACAGAGCTTGCAGAGCAGCCGCCGTATTTTTTCCAGTATGAAAATCACAAACAAAGATCTGTGACAGGAAGTGGTGTGTTCACTGTGATTCCTGCTGCGAGGATTGAAGTGCGGCGCTGTTTGTGTTTGGCTGTGAGTTTCTCATGAGAAAGAGTTGTATTTTTGATCAGTGAGCAGATTGTGAATGACGTGTGTTTCTGTGTTTGTGTTGCAGGTGTACGCTCCGTCTGCCAGTACAGCCGACTACAACAGGGACTCACCGGGTTATCCCTCCTCCAAACCTCCCAGTGCTGGCTTCCCAAGCTCATTCTTTATGCCAGGTACACACACACACACACACACACACACACACACACACACACACACACACACACACACATACACTCACAAGGTCTGTCCCTAATCAAAACTCCCACCACTAGATTCCTGAGTTCTTTGTGGATACTGGATCAGATGAAATAAGCTCAAGGTCCATGAGAAAAAGCTGAAAGATGTTCTTGGATTGAAATCAGCTAAAGCCTTGAGTCATACATCTTAATGGTTGCTGTAATAGCTGCCCAGATAATGTATTAATCCCATAGACAGGAGACAACAGAGATGTCAACAGGTTGCTCTCTGCAAACTCTGCAGCTGTTGTGAACGCTGTCAGATAATCCTGCTTTCACAACAGACGTACAAGAGCATCTTTCCCAGTGGCAAGGCCGTGCTCCTCCAATAGCTCTCCAATTGACAGCAGGTGGAAGTTATTAGAGTTCATTCTTTGAATCTCTGAACTCCAGAAAATATGTCTCATCTACCCCATCATACCAGCGCTTCTCATGCTTGTGCTTTTTGAGTAAAACCCTCAAAAGCAATGATGTCCTAACATGAAAATAACACACCAGACTGATGTGTTTCCTTCTCAGAGTTTAACATATATCAATACACTTTTTCTGTTCTATCACGCTTATACCATGTCCACTTACCAGAGGTGAAAAAACAAGATTCGTTTTAACATTGACTTGCAGTCAGTTTTGTTGGGTCTGATTACAGTTACTTAGAGCAGACCTTACCTGCAGATCTTCAGCACTGATCCACTGGTTTAAACATGGTTAGACATCTGACCAGGACTTGTTTGGTCCTGTTATATGACTTCTAGCATATGTATCAGATAATCATGGTTTCCTCCAGACTTTCTTTTTCCCTTTTACCTGTCATGTAAATACACACACACACACACACACACACACATGAAAATGGTTGGTACACATGACCTCAGTTATCAGTTAATACAAATCTGTTACCCAGGTTATTCTTGAACAGGTGTAAGGAAAACAGGTGTCCCATTTATACATGTTTTCTGAAATCAGGTTACTCCCCAAACTGGGTCAGAATACCAAAACTACAGAAAGAAAAGTGCATAGAGATTAAACTGATCTGAAACCAGCATACAGCACATTACATGTACCTCTCTCTCCCTCTTCCCTCCCCTCTCTCACTGTGTTTCTATCAGATGGTCACAGTGGTGATCCCTGGAGCAGCAGTAGTAGCAGTATGAGCCAGCAAGGTTACCACGGCAGCATGCTCGGGGGTGGGAACTCATCCCACGGCCCCGCCCAGAGCTCCTCCTACTGCGGGATTCACCCTCACGACAGACTGGTGAGCAGAGCTGTCCATCACGGTGTATATCAATACCAGGGTCTGTACAGTGTGTGACACAGGTGGTACTTTCAGGGCGTCCCAATTTCATTTACATAAATAAACTTTTAGGAGATTTCAGACAAGAAGATTGATTTTCAGTTTTCTAGGTTTCCCCTGAAATTCATGACTCTCCGTACATATCCATCCATTTCACCCCTGATTCGAAGCATGAGCTCACTACTATAGAAGCTGAGCACATAAGTTCTTTCTTTATCTTGAAAATAGTAGTTAAAATTAAAGGTGCACTTTGGTACTGGTTTTTTTCAAAGCTTTTACAGTGAGACCATAAGATGTCCAGAAAATGCTCCTGATAGACACTCAGTTAAAATGTTTCTTTCACTGATTTATTCGTGTTATATCCAATTCAGCTGATGGGTGTAAACAGTTTAGGACAGCCATGAAAATGCCCTTATGTAACAGTTTAAGAAGAAGCTAAATCAGTTTTGCAAAAACCTAAATGGACTCCTAGTTTGACAAACATGGGGAAATGAATTGAATCATTTTGTTGAATCAAGTAAATGGCGGTTCTTCATGCCAGTGACACGAGAAACCAGACTGAAAAAAAACACATTTTAAAGCCCAAGAAAGTGAAGTTATGGCAATAGGTTATTTTAAGTTATGGAATGGCTACGACCTTGGTAGAGTCATAGATTTAAAGGCAAAAAACATCTGTTAAATCAGTCGGTGGTCAATAATATATTAAACACTAATAATACTAGGGGCTGTCTGCAGAATGTATTCACCATGCTGTATTTTTCCACATATCTTGAGTGGTTTACTGTCTGTGTTCTTACTAGAAGTGCACATCTGGATACATGAAATACATTTATAAGTTCTACCCAAATGTGAAGCTGTAAATCTGTCAAAGGTCATTGGATGGTTATTCTTAAAAACTAACAACTCTCTTTGATTATTCAAAGAAGAGGCTTCATTTTTATCACCACTGCCTTTTATTTTTATTTTGTTCTTATGTAATGTTTCCTGTTTTGCAGTAGTTTGTTATTTTTATGTTTGACTTCATTCCGTCGTCTCTCTGCAGAGCTACCCATCGCACTCGTCTGCAGATATCAGCTCCAGCCTTCCTCCAATGTCCAGCTTCCACCGAGGAGGAGGGAGCGGGAGCGGGGCCAATCACTACAGCACCGCCTCTTGCACCGCCCCCACCAACGGCACAGACAGCATCATGGGTAAGACACCTGTGTATGTTTTTGCCTTGAAGCAAAGTGGTTAAAGAAATAATGAGGTTGCTGTTAAGTTCAGAAACTGAAATAGAAGCGTTGACGGCGTTGTTTGGGAGTTTGGCAACTGCACAGTCATCTGCTGTCAATCAGCTGGTGGTGTAGCTAATCTCATTAGCTGATGTCATTAATTAACTGAAGGAGAAAAACATCCATTTCATTTGTGACATTCCAAGTTTAATGATGTCCATGCAGACTTAACTGAAGAGGCTGCCTTTCTTTTTATCTGATTGGATGGAAAGGGGTTGAATTCTTTTTCTTTTTTTTTTAATATGTGGTGCTTAGTTTTTTTCCAGGCTGGTTCAACCTGTGGGAAGTAGTGATACCAAAAAGAGTGGCTCTGGTGCCACCATGAGGTTGACATTTTTTCTTTTTTCATGAAATGGTCTCACAGCTAAGGGCTACATTGCCATTAAATTTGGTACAGACGCGACTCCCCATACACCACCATCATCAGGTCAAAACAATTGACACTCCCATCAGCCTCAGCCGTTTAGTGCTAATTAGCAAATGCTGCCATGCTAACATACTAAACTAATGAGATAAGGATGATAAACATGATCAAATCAGCATCTTAGCATTGTCATTGTGAGATTTTTTGCATGCACACGTTATCATTAGCTCAAAGCATTGCTGTGTCTTAAGTACAGCCTCACAGAGCTGCCCCAATGGCTGTAGACTCTCCGTCTCGCTAATCTGTTGATGGGATGTGATCGTTGATGTGAGTTCACATGTTCATGTCAAGGTCTGTTTTACTTGTTTGAATGTCTTTAATATTTTTGTGTAGACTTAAGACTTCAGACATGGACTTCATCTTAAAGAGACATGAAGACTGATACATGACTTGGACTTGACTGAGAGACTTTGCTTACTTGACACTTGACTTCCTGAAGACTTGACTTGACTTTTGACTTGAAAGTAAGAACATTCACGTCTCAAGGTAAAACCAGAGACCTCAAAGACCTGCACTTTGACTTGGCAATGTATAATTTGGACTGCTGAAAGGACTTTGGCACTGACTTGAGACTTTACCTAAAACACTTTAAAAAAAAAAAAAAAGCTCTGCTGTGTGTAAGCTCTAATTCTTATCATTAACCCAATCACCTTTACTCACTTGTGAACTGACAAGATGGTTTAATTGTGAAGGTAACTGATTGCCAGCTTGGGTGCACTCGCTGCTGTGTTTGTGTCTCAACTCTTGAAGAATCCACAGATGATTGATCGCAAAGACAATATTACCAGACCTTTCCGATCAGGAGACAGCATTAGCTAATAGACCATTTCTATTTACAGTCACATCACCAGTTATAAAGGTTCCTGCTGTGATTAGACTCAAATGATTGAAACCACTTAAAAAGTACATTTCATTTTTAGAGGAGAAGGCGGGCGGTCACGAACTGAATATAACCAAATTGAGAGAAACACTTGACCTTTACATCACTGACACACAAGCGCGCACACACACACACACACACACACACACACACACACACACACACACACACACACACAGCATGCCATATGGACCCCTTGCTTTGAGTCCCGTACAACAAATAGGACAGCAATAAGAAACAGATTGAAAGTTTGTTTTCATGGGAAGACATCTCCAACATTCCACAAAGAGATCACACACACACACACACACACACATATGAGCCAGGGCAGATGAGTGTAAACACAAGATGAACGTAATAAAAAACATGACAGTGTTGTTTAAATATAAACATATGACAGACGTGTGCACACACATGAACACTCAAACACAGACTCACAGTGTTTACAGCTCTTTCTCTGCCTCAGTCTTATTTTGTACCAGTAAACAAGGGAGTGAGTCCTTTTTAAAGAGAGCAGCATCTGTGGTCACTACTCATGTAAGTTGATTGTATTGATGAGCAGCGGTTCACAAAGGAAAAAGTATCACAATGTCAGGAAACTTGTCACACCCCCTGCAGCAGAAGTCACACCGCTTGAGGCTCGTACAGTTAGCTCTCAATGACGGTGCAGCAGGTGGAACAACATTTTATGATCCAGTCTCTCAAATGTGAGGATTTGCTGCTTTTCCTTGTCTTGGATTAGATTTTTATTATATTCCACCTTGACCATTAGTTGTCCATTAGGTAAATGACATGAATCCACACTGACCACAGCTGCTGTTCTTTGTGATGAAGCTAACAGCAAAAGTTTTACAGTCACCTTGCAGTCAACACAGCATGAGTGTGTCATTCTCTAATGAGGGTGTAATGTCATTGTTAAGTCTGGGTAATTAGATATGAATGAATAAAAAGGTACAACCACAACACAACGACCATGGATCCACTGCAGCTTGGTAATGCCTTCCAATGAATACAATTGGTGGGAAGCTGTTGAGGGATCATGTGCTAGTTACTGCACCAGGAACTTCTACTTTACAAGGTTTTCAGTATGTATTGTGTTCATACTGGAAAAATTATGATTCAAAATGTATGCAAACTAAAACAAGTCTTGATGTTTATTATTATGCTGCTGATGCTCCCATGATGCAGTGCTCTGAGGAAATGGAGGAGCTACTTGGAGCTGAAAAAAAGGGGCGGATGGTGATGAGACAGAGAAAATACAAAATTAACAAAAGGGCCGTATTTTCTTCACAGATACAGTTTGTTTTCATACGGCTTGTATAAAAACTGCAGAACAGTATAATGAAAACTAGTGTAGTCCACAGTGTAAACAGTGGTGTTAGTCTTTGTCAGCAAGAATATTTTTACAGTGTTTCTTGAGCGCTCTCTACAGTGAAGCTAATGTTACAGAAGAATATGCTCTACAACAAATGAATGGTCTTCTGCTACTAGATACACTCACCAAGCACTTTATTAGGAACACCATATAAACACTGGGCAGTTCCTCCTTTTGCTTTCAAAACAGCCCCAGCTCTTCATGTCTTGGATTCCACAAGAACTTTACTTGGAGATTCTGCTCCATTGTTGACATGACTGCATCACATTGTTTCTGCAGATTTGTCCTACCACATCCCAAAGGTGCTCTACTCTATCCAGGCCTTGTGACTGAGGAGGCCTCAGAGCTCATTGTCATGTCCATGAAAGCTGTATCTTTAGCTTTGTGACATGGTGCACTCTCCTGCTCCATTAAAAGGTGGTGAACTGTGGCCATGATTCAAACCATGATTGATTGGTATCAAGGGGCCCACGGTGTGCCAAGAAAACACACCCACACCATCCCCTACACCACCGCCACCGCCAGCCGCCTGGCTGTTGACACAAGGCAGGTTGGGTCCATGGATTCATGCTGTTGATGCCAAACTCTGACCCTACCATCTGCTGCCTCAGCACAGATCCAGATCCATCAGACCAGGCTACGCTTTTCCAGTCTTCAACTGTCCGGCATTGGTCGCAGATTTCTGTTCTTGGCCGCCGACAGGAAGCAGAACTTGACGTTGTCTTCTGCTGTTGTAGCTCCTCCACCTCAACTATTGTGAGACTGTTGTGTGTGAAAAATCTCAGGGGATCAGCAGTTTCAGAAACACTCAAACCAGCCCGCCTCACACCAACAATCACGTCATGGTCAAAGTCACTGAGATCACATCTTTTCTCCATTCTGATGTTCGATGTGAACATTAACTGAAGCTCCTGACCTGTATATCTGCAGGATTTTATGCACTGCATCGCTGCCATGTGATTGGCTGATTGGATCATTTGCACTTACACAGGTGTTCCTAATAAAGTGATTGGTGAGTGTGTAACTAGTGTGTGATATGGAATTGGTACACAGGCAACCAGACATTTCAGAGTATGTTAAAATAAATGAATAAATAAAGAGATAAATAAAGCGATGTTTCTCTCTGAAGAGGTACAGACGGAAAACAGACAGAAAAAACACAAAAATCTGTTTCATCTCCTGAATGCTCCGCTCCTTTGTGACTATAAGCTCTCATTTATGAAAAAGATTTTCTCCTGCATATGTTGTAAATTATGCATCAAGTGAGGGTGAGTGTGTGTTTTTGTCTGTGTGTGAGTGAGTGTGTGCGTGCGTGCGTGTGTGTGTGTGTATAACAGTAATCCCTTGGATGGTTTACTAGGCCAGTGGTGTGGCGTGAGTGAGACATGAGGCTTTAACTCCAAAACATATGCTGCTTCCTGTCTCTCCCCTTCTTCTCGCTCTACCTGTCTCTCTCTCCCTCTCTCTCTCTCTCTCTCTCTCGATCTGTATGTCTCTTTATCTCCAACTGCTTAGAGAAGTGCAGTCCTGCCAGTCTATGTCATGGATTCATTTGCCATGAAAGGGTGTGTTTTTTGTTGTGTTATGTGTGTGTGTGTTTGTGTGTGTGTGTGTGTGTGTGTGTGTGTGTGTGTGTGTGTGTGTGTGTGTGTGTGTCTAACTTGTGTGTGCGAGCGTAAATTTTCCATCTGGGATCTGATATCAGGAGGGATGAGCTGTAAGCATGTCAGAGTCCCTCTGCCTCTCTCTCACTGTGTGTGCGTGTGTGTGCGTGTGGGTTTGGGGGTGGGGGGGTGCGCTCATCTGGTCCTGTTAGGTCACTTCCTTCCTCTCTGGCCTCAGTGCTCTTCAAGTGTGTGAAACAGATTTAGTTGTATTTAAGTCCAGCATTTGCACACGCGCACACACACACACTCACACTCACACACACACACTCACACATGCCATGAATCAGTTAAAATGTTTAAAATGTTGAAAGTCGATTTAGATTGAGTTCTGTTTCTGTTTTCCATCACATGATTTGAATAAGAGTCTTGTCGCAGCGTCATTTATAACAGCAAGGACTTGAATTCATGCACAGAGCTGTAGTAAATCTGCACAGAGCTTCCACATGATGTTCAGCTTGGGTGAACTCTAACATGAGAATTTGATCCACTCAGAAACAGCCTTCACAGTCCTGACCTTTGAGGGAACATAGAGCAAGAGAGTCCAAAAGAGAGGATGCTATCATATTCACTGTGTTGCACCATCACATCATGGTCTGCAGTCAGTCGCCAGGCGTCCATGGTATAAAATAGGTCTCTTGAATTAACTGTGTCCAGTTAAAGACTGGACAACATGCGTTAATGATGTCATGAGTTTCATTTCCTGCTGTTTAAGACAAATTAATTAATTACCTGTAATTTGAGGTGCCTGACAACATGCTCCCCTTACAGCTTCCTAACTAAAGGTGTAATTTTTTGTTTTCATGAATATATGTTTCCAGTTTGAGTCTGGAAGAGATGGACTGATGGTTTACGATTAGACAGAATAATCAAAATCTGTAGTTGACAACATCGTTATTTACAAGACTACGTCCCTGTTTTTGTGTGTGTGGGTATGTGTGTGTCACAGCTAACCGAGCACAGAGCGGAGCAGCCAGCAGCTCTCAGACAGGAGACGCCTTAGGGAAAGCGCTCGCATCGGTAAGTACAGCACACACATACACACACATGCAGATCTTAGAGACCTGTTCAGTCCTTGAATAATGCAAAATGATTTTATAATTCATTTTTTCTGTTGTGTCCAAGCCTTTGGCAGACTTGGAGTTTATCATATTACTTAAATTCTATCTTTATGTTGTTTTCAAGTTTTAGTTGTAACTGATTTTTCTTTTGGTTTCTTTTTTAGATTTACTCTCCAGACCACACAAACAACAGCTTCTCATCCAATCCCTCCACCCCAGTTGGCTCCCCACCCTCCCTCACAGGTTAGCACATGGCATTCACCTTCTAACAACCACACACACACTTACACACACACACACACACATGCCACATCAACCCAAAACCAACACAGAACAACATTTACCAGAGGCAAGAAGCAGAGCTGACTTAAGACTTGAACTGGATTCACACTTCTGTAAGTCACAAAAAAGAGGAATTTGCGAGAATCAGCTTGAACCTGTTTCAAATGACCTGAGACTTGAACTTGTTTCAAATGACTTGAGACCTGAACCTGTTTCAAATGACTTGAGACTTGAACTTGTTTCAAATGACCTGAGACCTGAACTTGTTTCAAATGACTTGAGACTTGAACTTGTTTCAAATGACTTGAGACCTGAACTTGTTTCAAATGACTTGAGACTTGAACATTGAACAAATCATTCGAGACTTGGACTTGGACTTGCTTCAGATGACTTAAACACAGCTCCAGGAAAAAGAAGAAAAGGAAAAAAATATAAATCTTAACGCTTATTCAACATTTGATTTTATAATTTAAAGGGAATTCTGCTCTGTATCAGAAGCACAATCACTAGGCGTTGAAAGAAACCATAAAAACAAATGAATAATCGTTGTGTCTCCTCTCCATACCACTCCTCCTCCTCTTATTTCCACCAATTACTTCTGCTCTCGGCTTATGTTGTAAACTCTCCCTGCTCCTTAAAGTGAAAAATGACTTTTCCTAATAATAGTTGTGTCGAATTTGTCTCTAATTGTCAGTGCTACACACACTGTTTGATATTTCTCTGCCACGCCTGGTGACTGATAGCTTTAATTACGAGCACCACTTTGACAAATTGTTCACAAACCTACCGGCTCTGCGAACACAAGCCCCCTCCCCTCTTCCTCCTCTCCTCCTCGTCATTATAGCGGCCTGGGATATTGCCTGCTAAACCATAATTGGTGTTTATCATTGTGTCAGAGTTACTCCACTTTTTACAAATTAGAAATGAAGCCTATTAGAGCAAACTACATGCAAATTGATATCCAAGGCTAATTCTGCAAGGGTGTTTTACACTGTTGGACTCGGAATAATTTACCCTGCCGTTTAATACATATATTTGTATTTGCACATGAATGTACCCAGGTGATTATTCATTAATTAGCATATGGAAATGAGCATGTAATATGAATAAAGGGAAGAGGGGAGAGAAAAGACTGCGAGACAAAATGGGAAGACAATAAAAATGAGAAACATGAGCTAATGAGATGAGATCAGAGTTACAAGGGAGAGATCAGTAGTGAAGGCAGAGAGGAGAAGAGAGGGAAAAAAAGAGGAAGGAACACAAATAGAGAGGAGAGGAGATATGAGTTATAAGAAAATAACTGAGTAACTGGGCTGTCTTAGTTTTATTGCTAATGATTTTCAATCTGACCAACAAAACAATTGTTGAACCTTTATTTTCGAAGTTTTTTTTCATATTACAAGTGAGAAATTGTCCATCAACACCAAGTTTTGATCTGAGTTGATAAGGGTTCGGGTCATGTTATTATTGAAATGTTTGCTGACTGGTGTGTGATTCTTGATTAGCTGCTTCTTAACTATTTTAGTAAAAACTAAAAGACACAGATCTGTCTCTGTGAGGATGCAATAACAAAAAGATGTTAGCATTAGCAGCTATTAGCAGTGGCACATTTGCTTCAAGCTTGTTTAACATCAAGGCATGGTCACACTCAGCCTGGTATCACCAGACCAATTTGTGTTTCCGGGAGCATTAGCTGGTAAATCTGCACATATTTTTCAATCTTGGCGAGATAATATAATGATGTACAAATTTGAGAACAAAATGCTACAAGGCAGTAAATGGATTGCCACAGAAGAGCTAAAGGACGCTCGGAGAGCTATGTGATGCTAGCATATTCCTAGCTGGCAGCTGCTAGAGCCACATATTTCACAAAGATGTACACATGAACTGTACTGTGGCATTTTCTGGTGTGACTGGGCTTTAACGGCGTATCTTTGTGGTTTCTGTCCAAAATAAATGAATTGAAAAAATCATGTGTTAGTTTGTCTCTCCTCTGAAACCTGAACATTGTTGAACTGACTCTGAACACCAGCCCATCATCTCTCAGAGCTTAATATAAATTCACACAAGTCGCTGTCTCTCTTCCGTCTACCAGCTAATGAGACCTGTCGATTCAGATACAACCCTTCAGTGCGCCGTCAAACACAAAAGCAGAAAAGAACAGAGACACAAAGCTTGTTTATTCTGCAGAGGGCCCATGCTAATCAACCACTTGTACCTTTTCAAAAACAAAAGCCTGATATTAGCATTTCCACTATGAGATATGTGTTGGTTTGTTTTTGTCTTTTCTTCCTCATCTCTGTGTGTATTATGTCGGAGCGCCATGAGTGGATATGATGAGAGACTCCTTGTGTGTAAAGACGTTTTGTGTGGTGTTTGGCACCGTACGTCGAGTGGTTTCTTTTCTCTACATATAAAAAGGAAGGGAGGTTTCGGCTTTAATCCCCTCTCAGACATCCATCCTGTGGAGGGTCACAGGAGGCCAGAGCGTGGACAGGCTTGCAGTTTATCATAAAACACACATGAAAGGATGCAGATTTGAACTAAACTAAACATCTCCCCATCTCCTATCCTAATGATGTGTCCTTGTCTCCTCTCTCCTAGCTGCCAGTTCAGCTGTTTGGTCGAGGAATGGCGGACAGGGAGCGTCATCGCCAAACTACGAGGCTCCGCTGCACTCTCTGGTATGCACACACACAACCGCAACCATTGTGCACATGTCTAAATATAACATATATAACACAACATAACATGTTTGATTGTGGTTAAAATGTATTTGAACTAAAAGGCAGCTTGTTTTACTTCCATAACTGTTCAAACCTCTGTTCACTGAGGTCTGTGGAGTAACAGGAGGAGTTGTTTCTGTTCTTTTTTTAAAGACCATTATCAAAGCTGTGAACAGAAGTCTATAGACAGGTTTCCTACTCACAAACAATCCAGCTCCCAGCAGGGTGGTAGAAAACACTGTCACAATGTCATGAGTTTAATTATGGACATGTAGACATAAAGCAACTTCAATAAAACCAGTTATAATATTGTTTAAAGGTAAATTTCTATGCTGTGTTTGTTCTTGTATTTTCAAATAGTTTTACCACACACCTATGTACATATAACATGTCTACATATATGACACTATATGTGCTAGATGTGCTACATTATTCAACTATTATTCAACGCAAAACTTGACTGATAACAAATGTCAATACGGCATCAGGATCATGAAAAGAGAGTGTGTACATCTCTTTATGAGTTTCATTCTCTTAAAAAAACATAAACATAATTAACATAAACATTATATTGTGACGCATTTTCCATCCAAAGCCATCGGGCCACCTGTGCCTCTAACTGTCAGCAAGTCACACACTGAAACTCCAAACCCACACCAAACTGATCACAGAGCCATAAACACACAGTAGCAGTGTGAGTTGTCTTACCTTAAAACTGGTGTTTTTCTGCATCACCAGGTTCTGTGGAAAACTATCCACCACCTTCCAGAACTCTGCACCTTGTACTGTACTCCATGGTCCTGACCAGGTCGCTAGATTCTGATAGCAAACAAAGCAAACTGAGCTAACAGGACTTTTCCTTCTTGAAATATTAGCATATATATTACAAACTGTTACATCTGTGATTTGTGTAGTTTAAATCACAAAAACAACTTTCTACATGTTACTAAATCAGGAGTAAAAAAAGTCAAAACATTGTGCTTTAGTGAGTATTTATGGCAGCAGAACAGTGAATGTGCTACTGTCTATAAATAAACTACAACGTGTGTGTTCAAGAAGGTGTGTTAATAAGAGAAGTTTTTGCTCAATGACGGAGCTCTATAGCACAGAAGAATACGATGTATCATTGCTTCGGAGACATATTTTGTGATCTGTCACAAGCTTCTAATAAATCACAGGCATCAGGATGTTTATGGACGACCGACGTTTCAGTTTCATCCAAACTGCATCTCAGGATGAATGTCGAGAGTCACGTCTATCTGTGTTTGTTCGCTCTGCAGCAAAGTCGTATCGAGGACCGTCTGGAGCGTTTGGACGATGCCATCCATGTACTGCGGAGCCACGCGGTGGGGCCGTCTACGGGTATGACCAGCGGGCACGGTGATATGCACAGCCTCATCGGGGCTGCGCATTCGCATAACGGTGCCATGGGTGCTCTGGGCAGCGGGTACGGGACAGGACTGCTGTCGGCCAACAGACACTCCCTCATGGTAGGACCTGAGAACATGTTGTTTTTTTTTTGTTTGTTTTATTGGTGATGGGTTTGAAGGTGATGTCAGAGGGAGCATAACATTTAATGCAAAAAGGTCCACCTTAAAGAAAAGAGGAGAGGAGAGGAGGTTGAATTGAAAACATGAAGTAAGACAGCAGTAATGTTTTCCATATTTAAGGCTTTTGGCTTTGTCAACTTGAAACAATAAACATAAAGAACCAAACAGCTGTGTGACATAAGGAGATGTAGGAGGGTGAGAGAGAGGGAGAGAAGGAGCATTATAAAACCAGTATAAACACATTCAGATGCCTGAAAATGTTCAGTCAGACGTATTTTGTTTATTTGTGTTGTACATTTGTCCATACTCACATGTGCACACACACACCAGATGTTCCTTCAGACACACAAGACGCTCTGCACACCGCCGCAACCTCTTCAACACCTATCTCCCCCCTTAGATCGTAGCCTCAACCCGCTTTTGTTCTGTCCAGCCGTTTTGCATTAAGACTGTAATGAGCACTGCAGCCTGTAGGGGGCACCACACAGGTCTATTACACTGTCCTCACTACAGTAGTTCAGGAGCCTGGTCCTCTTCTCTTCCTGGTCTTTGTTAAAGTATTTACTTTGAAGTGCTATTTTCTAAATGGAGAGCACCTGTGGTAGAGGGCAGTGTGTGTGTGTGTGTGTGTGTGTGTGTGTGTGTGTGTGTGTGTGTGTGTGTGTGTGTGTGTGTGTGTTGGCTGACTCCCGCAGAGATTACCTTCTTCTCACGCATATCTGTCCAGCTCTCTCTCTCTCTCTCTCTCTCTCTCTCTCTCTCTCTCTCTTTCTCTCTGTCTCTCTCTCCTGGAGGTCAGTGCTGCATCATTGTCTTGGATAAACACACATTTTCCTCTCATCGTTGTCTGTCTCCTCTCTTACACGTTAACGCTTACACATTACACGTGTGTTTTTGCTGTATTTCCTGCTTAAAGTTGCAGTAATATTATGTTAACAGTGAATAAACGACTTTATGTAATGTGAAAGGTCACTCATAGGTCTGAATCCAGAGAGTTGTATCCAACTCTGCTCCACTGAGTTTTTTAGCCTTGTGTAGCTTATAGTTTTAGTTGCCCATAGTTTTGCTGTTATATAGGTCTGTCCCCGAAGCAAGATACATTGACTCCAGAGTGCAGGGTCGTCTTTCGTATATTAATTTGTCACATCCTTGTGGTTGATTGTTTTTTTTAAGAGTCATTATTTTAATGTCTTTGTTCATCATCTTAGATGTGATACAGATACAAATTTATTTCCTGTAAGTAGTTGCAATATAATAAAAGCTGCTAGCGAAATGTTAGCAATATGGCAACATGTTACACTGGAAGGTCCCACCAGTGAAAGGCAGTGTGTACACTATGAAAGGCTTTACAGTGATTTGGAGGGGTGGCACTAGTGTTAGGACTAGTTTATTCCTAGATTTGACTTTCATGAATAACAGTTAAATTAGATATTAAAAGAAAGAGTCTATGGCATTCATGTATCATTTTAAGGGTTTACACTGAGCCATGTCATACACCTGACAGCAATCATATCACATCCATACAGGGTTAGCAGTATTAGAGTTAGTTTACAGCTATTAAAATAAACACAATGTTATGATGACGGATACATAAGTTCAGGTATTGGAATCAGTATTGGGAAGGAAAAACTGCTATGGGAACCTCTTTAGTGAAAACATCAGATTTCCAATAAGTTGAAGTAAAAGTGAGTGTCCTGGTTACTGCTCAGTCCTAAAATTCGAATCGCCCAGGAGCGTCTCTCCTGCTGAGCTGCTGACAACAGAGTGTTGTTCGTTTTGTGATTCAGTCATTTTGAGAGTTTACAGCCTGCTGTGCTGTTGCTCCCACGTTGCTCTGTCTACAATGACACAGTGATTCCACTGACAAAATGTGAGTCAACTCTGGGGGTTCTTGACTGACGCATCAAGCTCTAGTATTATGGCACATTTACTGTTTGGTTACCTGCACAGTGATACATGACAGACAGTGCTTGCAGCTAGCTGGTAAACATAGCATTTAGCAGCTAAAGAACCACATATTTTTCCCAGGAGCCAGTGGAGACAAAACAGGAGCTAAAAGGAGAGTGAAGAGGGTCTTATATTGATCAGATGGACACAAAATGAAACCAGTGGGATGATAATGTTGCTCGGTCTCAGATATCTGCTTTTTAAGATGGTACACAAAGTTAGGAAAGAAAGAACATTTAAATGTCCTGATGTACAAAGTGATATGAACAACACACCTAAGGAAATACTTAAGGCTAAAGAACTAAATAACTTCACAAAATTTTTTGCTCAAGAAAACACCTCAGATGTTCACTTTGCTGTATGCTTGATAGGGTACGCTTCAGCATTTCATACTCTGTACAAGAAAAACTGTTTTTAATTAAGGAAAATCTTTAAGTTTTGGAAAATGTCTTTTGAAAGGATTTAAGACTTTCCACATAGATTTGGGAGGGAGAAAATGCTTGAGAACTACTTTTCAGCTTCATTTGGAGGTTATTCTAAACACTTCTCCTCCTCCTGGGACACCCCCAGATACAAATTTGGCATTAAGCTTTATGAAGTGACTTGGAGGTTTTGCCCAAGAAAACATTCACAGTTTACCTCTTGCTATGGGTGATGTTTTTACAAACTACTTTTCAGTTTCATCTTGAAATGATTCCAAATGCATTTATGACTTGTTTTCATACGTATGCAACCAGTGGAAAAAGAATAAAGTCAAGTGAAGGATGTGTGCTGAAAACACAATGTTTACTTCTGGACTCTTTAAACACACACATACACAGAGACACACACACACAGACGCTCATAAATTGCTCCTTGTGTTGTCATTAAGACCTCTGTGTGTGTGTGTGTGTGTGTGTGTGTGTGTGTGTGTGTGTGTTTATTTGGGCTCTGGAGTATTGGCTAAAAGAAAAACAGACCCATTACTGTAAGTCTGAAAACGCACCAGCTCTATAACCACACATGCGCGTGCGTGCGCGCACACACACACACACACACACTTATATACTCTGAATGCACGGGGCTGGTTAACATCACATTGTGGGGACCCAAGCAGCCCACTGACAGTGTGGGGACTCATATCCATAAAGCAATTTGATTGGAGAAGCTGCTGATTGACAAAGTATTTTCACTCACTTGTAAATTCCCACTGTAAAGTTCCTAATCATAAAATACAGGATAATTCAACAATAATATCATTTTTAGTTAGGTTTAGTCGATTTGAGTTATTTCAGCTAAGTTTGTGTGAAATCATGTTTTTGCTGTCAGCTTAGAATGGCAGATAGCTTGAGTACTACACCGCCCATGACCCTCAGCTTATATTGTTTTTTTGTTCTGTTTGTTTATATATCAATTCAATTCAATTTTATTTGTATAGCACCAAATCATAAAAAACATCATTATTATTACAAGTGCTGATATGATGACGTCTCAATACTAATAACAAAAATTTTACTTTTTTTTCTCAACTCTATCACCAGGCCTTCAGTACCAGTTTACAGTGTTTGATACATAACTGTCACCAAAGTATTGAAGTTAATATACTGTAAGCCCAGGCCTAGGTATAGTATGTGTAGCATGTATGTTTCCCAGACAGTGTAAACAGGAAGTCTGAACCAGAGGAAAAGGATGAGACTCAATCTAAATATTAAAAAAAAGAAAAGAGTGGAAAACAGAAAAAGCAGAGCGAGAGGAAGGAGTGATGTCATCTCTAAAATGAAGCCATTGTGTTTGTACTAAGAGTTTTTTGTGTATTTCCCATGCACATAGTCTCTCTCTCTCTCTCTCTCTCTCTCTCTCTCTCTCTCTCTCTCTCTCTTTCTCTCTCCTTATGTCACTCTCCCAGGTCTTTCTTTCTTTCTTTACTTCTCTTCCCTCTTCCCTTGTCATTTCGTCCTTTTCCAGTTCCTCTATGCTTCTTTTTCTTTCTTTCTTTTCCCATTCTCTCTTTCTGTGACTTTTCTATTATTCCTTCACAGTTTTTTTCTCATTTCTCACTTTTTATTTCTTTTCTTTTTTGTCTTTTCCATTTACTTTCTTGTGTGACTAAACTCTCTCTCTCCTGCTGTGTTTCGTATGCTCTCTCACTCACACACAAGTCCTCTCTTATTGATACACATATTACTACACACTTACTTTATTATGTTTTCTGTCTGTTTTGTTTTCATCTTCCCATCTACATGTACCTCTCTCTCTCTCTCTCTCTCACCCACCCACACACACACACACACACACACACACACACACAGCTGTATGTAGTTTGGCAGTGTTAGGCAGAGACGCCTGCAGGCTGAGGTCATAACTCTGGGAAAACAGGTGGTAGACTGATGTGGGGGAGAGAGAGAGAGAGGAAGAGAGACATATACATAGACAGGAATGCACAACCAAACACATAAATACACACTGATACAGAAGTAGATACACACATGTGTTCCAGCGTGCTCTTTTGTTATTTAGCTTTATATTTTCTTTATTCATGCACAAATGATGAAGTGCGTCAGTTAGAGCTGAAGTCATTCTGGAGCATCACTGATATTAAGTCTGAAACCAGGCATAAAACAGAGCAGCAGAGGGATAGGGTGACGTGACATTTAACTGAATGTGATCTGATGTGAAACAAACTGAAGAGGAAGAGAATATATGACTGTCCAGAGTCTCTGTGAAGGTTTTAAAATGTGTTCTCTGTTCTGCTGTCTGCCCCTGATGATGTGTTTAAGTCACGCCAGTTATTTTACTGCCTCTCAGCTCGGTGCGGATGGTGACTCTGAAACGAGGGGAAAGGTTAAGGCAGAGAAATGTTTCTCTCTCTCTCCATTAAGCATGTTACATTAAGTGAAATGGATCATAATCTGCATCACTTTGCCGTAAAACACACTAATGCCTTTTAATGCTCTGCATCGCCTCTCTTCTCTCCATCACTAAACTCACTCCTATAAGCTGATAGAAATCCACTG